ATGATACGTAGGTTAGTGAAGGATACGGTAGACGATACAACCGGAGAGGCAGCTGTAGAGCTTCAACCTCCGGTGCATCGTTGGAATACTGAGTTTTCAGCATTTTAGCTGCTTCCTCACGCTTCACTCTCTGTGTGCCAGATGATTCAGAATCCGAATCTTGCGATGTTGCTGATGTTGGGATTGCGCTAAGTGCGAAGGTTGAGCGCTCATTTCTTGATTGAATTCCAGTCAGAAGTCAACTGTGCGCTGTACGTCTGGACGATCCAGTACGGGACAGCAGATACAGGATGAATCGTCAATGCTTATGCCACGTGTACGTGCACTGACCGATTGCAGTGTATATAAAATCAAGGATGAAATCTATAAGGACCTTTCGCGAATGTTCTAGTGTTAGGTTAACGGTTATCGTAGTAGATACTGGAGACTTCAAGGCTCAATCGGGATCCCTGGACGAATCATAAAGGCTTATTGGGAGGCCCGCTCACAACCGGACGGTTAGCGGCGATCGCCTACATCAACTCTATGCGGACCACGGATTGCTTCCATAAAGCACTATATTCTCCTACAAGAAACAACACCGCCTCCCTGGATTTTGCATCTGGATCATCGTAATCAATGGTTAGAAAAACCGAGTGGTATGTCGTAAACAGTGCCGCTGGTATATCTTAATTTCTTTGGAACGTTAGCCCTGAGCGATTCTTTATGTTCACTCTGCCACTGAGTTGAACATTCCAATATTCCCTCCACCCCTTCACCCAAATGGGGAACAATGAAAAAACAACCATAACCGGCGCACGAATATGCATATCTAACAATTGTAAAAACTGAAACTGAAATGGAAAATCATTGAAATTATCTTGATTGGTCTCGAGGTCTCGAGGTTCAGGGACTAGTCCATGAAAAACAAAGGTAAAATCAATAAACGAAGTTAGCTATGAGCAATATAATAAATAAAATGGTCCAGGACATAAATCTTAGAATGTTGCTATAGTGGCTTCTCGTTTCAAAAGAATTTGTTCCAATAGTTGTTTGGCAGATTTGAAGTTTGTATGTCGATTGTGAAAAGTTCAGTAGTCTTGGTGGGATTTAAACCCACCCATGGACGCCGCCTACGTTTTTGTACAGCGCACGCATTATCAACTGAGCTACCGGTCCGAGCCGATAGCACTGATCTTTTCACATTCACTTTTTACAATCGAAATAAAAACTTCAAATCTGCCAGACAACAATTTGAACAATTAACCTTGTCTTGGAAGCTCATTCGATGGAGTCCGGTGAATTCTGAGGAAAACCTGTGGGGGCAGTCAGCTTAAATGCTAACTGGTGGACGCCATATGCCTCTATAAGTTGGATCGGTAAATTCGAATATGAAAAGATCAGTGTTATTGGTGTGGCATCGTAGCTCCGTTGGTAAAGCGCGCGTGTTCAAAAGAATTTTTTGTCTGACGAATGCAACAGTTTCAGTGCTAACAAGGGCTGATTGGGAAGTTGTGGTTACAACCCAGGTCAGATTTGAACGATACCCAGTAAGATGGGGGATCCGAGAGTGAACTTGTGTTGCATTGCACATCAGAGTCAAGTTACATAAAATTAGATTATATTCAAGGAAATTAATATTGTTGCGAAAATTCTCTAATGTCACAGCAACTGTTGTGATTTTCCCAATAAAACAACTTGTTTTCCGGTTTGCAATCAGTAGCACAGAATGATATGTTTGTTCTATAAGAAGAGATTTTTATATTCTCAAGGTAATATACTTTTCCCAAAGCTGTTTATTATCACATCAAGATTAACAATTTGGCATGGTATTGGCTTTGTTTTACTCTAGTTTCGTGACTGAAACATGGAAAGTCTCAGTGAAATAAAATCATGTACATATATAGTTTTAGTTTCGTCCGTTGAAATTATGTATGGATGCTGGGGGTTAGCATGTTATTGAAGGTATCCGAATCGCCAATCTTATATCATAACTATTGCTGTACTGCTACTGTTATAATTCCACAAGGCGGTGCTCGTTCGACAATAGTCATTTATTGCCGTCAACGGTCAGGATATGGTTAAATTGTCATTCACACAACAAAATATCTCATTTGGAACAATTTTGCGGAAGTACCGCACACACACAAGATAGTTGATGAAACGGTCCACTGTCAGATGCGCATTCTTGTATTAATCATATCGAACGGGTCTTGTTCATTTTTAGTCGTTGAAAAAAAACCGCCGATCACATCCTTTGCGTACTACCCACAAGAGAGTATTATCTCACACTACTACTACTACTACTACCACTACTACTACTGCTACTACTACTACTACTACTACTACTACTACTAAAAGTCAATAAGTTCAGTTATTGGAAATGCACTTGCATAGGCAAATTTCGGCTTCAGAGATATGGTTAATTACAGGTTTCCAAAGAAAGAATATACGGCGATAATCAGGTAATAATAGGGGTAGCATACAGACAACTTTTAGGTTGATATGAATATGACCGAAACGGCATGGCTACCTGACGGGAGTAAATCGATAAGGGTGAACCGCTTTAGTAGAAAATGTGAACAGCATATTTTGAGGTTGATGTAGTTTAAAAGTTTTCTCCGATTTGCAAAGTACAGGGAGAAAATTTACAGAATCAGTGAAGCGTTTCTATCCGGTTGGGTTCAGTATTGATAACAAACCATTTCTTGAGTTCTCCTTGGTTTCCTACAGGTGATTCTTCATTTCGGTGAAAATCTTCTCCTGGTTCAAACGAAGTCCCTTAGGCTGAGACAGCAATAAGAAAAGATATTGATCAATCTATCGATCGAAGCAGATTCTTTTTTACTAACGTATTCCCACGTCCTCAGAAAGCTTCATTTGACCTCGATTGTTTTATCCGATACTGAGAACATCTCAGTAATTACCAAGAAGGAAACGAAGATGATTTCGTTTGCGTTAATCTTGTTAGCGAACAATACGATTAACAACCTTGTGGCTGATTGCGATTTCCCATTATATTTTCACTTTGCTATTTATTAACGTTTCAACCCTACAAATATCATCAACAAATAGACAAAGTTAGTTTATTTTTTCTCTACTTTAGTGATAAAGTAACACAAAAACGCAACGAACTTTTCGTATGCTAACAAAACCTTTACTGACAGTTTGGTGCTCAGAAAATGTTTTTCGCGCTCCAGATGTATGAGTGCGCTTCGTAGAACGTTCACTGTGATTTGGACTGACCACCTTATAGGTTACATGATACCAAAGCAATTGCAGGGTACAGGTGAAAGTATATGAAATACACCTGAGTGAATATCACGAATTTAAACAATTTGTAGTTGATCCTCAACTGTCCGTGATCGTGAGCGTATTTATTAGTTCTCCCCATATTCAGTGTGCCGGGTAGTATCCTTGGACGGTTCATCGATTGATTAGATTTAAATTTTGCTGTTTTCTTTATCGGGACAGTGTATCGCAGTACATGCATGAGGTCGTTCAACCTTAAAGAACAATCACCAAAACAGGAGCTAGATGCAGTTGGCTCTAATAATCGATCAGGTCGATCGCTCATCCATTGTGTTCGGGACAGTTTGTTGATCAAAGTTGTACTAATACCAACATTCACTACTCATCAATGTTTGACTGGTGTAAGTGAGCTTTATGAGTGATTGGGTAACAGTTCATATTGTGAAGCAAGTAGTAGGAAAGCTCTGAAACCTGATGTCCTTAAGAGAGCACGTTTTTGCTAGCTAATGTAACACGATAGCCTTTTTTGAAAGATAAAAGACTCAGGATGAAATGTGATAACCAAATTCGTTGAAAAGGAACCTGAAAACTTCGCAATTTAAACGACTACTAGTTAGGTGTCCTGGATACTGACACTTTGTTGTTCCCATCCCTGCACAAGCCCTCCAGTCCGCCAAATTTCATCTCGTATAAACGCTTACCGAAATTCACATATATTTTATCTTACAGGTTTACTTACAAAGCGAGGGAATAAGTGAATTTTGTTTTGACTTTGAACTGTGGAATGTCCGCATATCTGTTAATACTTTTTCTCCGTTGAATATGTTCTCTGTGAGGATTGGCAAGTAACGTTTTTTAACTGAAACGTGGGGTTCCCCAGCTGGGTCAAGTGATAGGTCATGTTCTGTCTTTGTTTTCACACCCGGCCAAGGCAATTGGAGCACCTGCACTAGTCGTTTTAGAGCATACAGGTTAGGGCCTAGTAAGCCAATGACGATCGCCTCGGCCATGGCCAGTGTCCGAACTCGGGCCACCTTCAATCGATTGAGTGGAATACGATAAACAATATCGAAAGCTTTCTCCTGTTCGATCTTGTGCCCGGTGTCGACGAGATGCCCCACGATCGCGCTTGAGATGCAGCCAGTTTTCCCCTGACTTAACCATCGTGGGTGGTGCTCCTTAACGCGCTGAGACAAACGCCTTAGCGTACGACCTATGTAACATGCGCCACAAACGCACTTAAAAGAGTAAATTATCGTGGATGAGGTCAGTTTCGGCAGTTTGTCTTTCACTTGCATTCGCGTCACCGATGATATAGAGAATATTGGTATAAGTTTAGCTGCGGAGAAAGTGAAATTCACAGCCACTCTCAATGACTGAACCAGGCGCTCTGTGTGAGTCCCCCTTAGATGGGATTCTTATGAAAATTTCTTTCTTGGGGACACAGATTGAGTTTTCCTTCTCCGGAGTGAGCTGAATGTTCTTATCGATGAAATTTTCCGGGTAACAATTGTCCTGCAGCGCTTGGCGGATGGAGTGTAGTCCTTCATGCAGTGTCTGCTGAGCTCTGAAGGCTAGACACCGGAGTAGATTACGTTTATATTTCATAGGAACGAAACTATGGAATTTATTATACTGACCATTTCATGCTTTCTTTCTGTGGATCTGTCTTCTTACTGATCCATCTTCTTTCCTGGACACGGCTAGCTGACTTCTTCGTGGCTAAACTGGAACGAACTATTCAAGGATTAGCACATTACAGTAGATATATGGATGATATCTTCTGTGTGACCGATCGCGAAAATTGCATCCTACAGACACTGAAATCGTTTAACGAAGCACATCCATCACTGAAATTCACTGTAGAGGTTGAAACGGACAATCTATTGGAATTTCTGGATGTAGCCGTGACGCGAATGCAAGTGAAAGACAAACTGCCGAAACTGACCTCATCCACGATAATTTACTCTTTTAAGTGCGTTTGTGGCGCATGTTACATAGGTCGTACGCTAAGGCGTTTGTCTCAGCGCGTTAAGGAGCACCACCCACGATGGTTAAGTCAGGGGAAAACTGGCTGCATCTCAAGCGCGATCGTGGGGCATCTCGTCGACACCGGGCACAAGATCGAACAGGAGAAAGCTTTCGATATTGTTTATCGTATTCCACTCAATCGATTGAAGGTGGCCCGAGTTCGGACACTGGCCATGGCCGAGGCGATCGTCATTGGCTTACTAGGCCCTAACCTGTATGCTCTAAAACGACTAGTGCAGGTGCTCCAATTGCCTTGGCCGGGTGTGAAAACAAAGACAGAACATGACCCAGCTGGGGAAAGATCACATCAACTAATACGCTAAACATTCCTACACGCATACACACATATGCATCCACTTCCATTACTCTCTGCCTCCGATTAATGACCTTTAATAGAGCTGGTGGCTATCATTATGTAAGAGTTTTTCGCTGTATGATATGTATGTAAGAGCATGAATAGGAATATCCAGAACCCTTGCTTGCTCACCGACTCGTTTTCTCGATGCCATCATGGGAATTTTCAAGCTGTTGACTTCTCATTGATTTTGACTATATGTTTACACTACTGAATATGGAAGCAGTAGTAGGAGTAGAAGTTATCTTGATTGATAATGCGATGGGCACGTCAGGAATATCGAAATGTGCGATTGACGAATGATGGAACAGAGCTCACAAAATAGCGTTCAACCATAATCTCCTATGGAATACAAACTAGGAGAAAGAAATTATAAATATAATTAAAAAATGTTAGAGGCAGAATAAAATATTACATGTATTTTCTTGTGTTGCTTCAAACGCTTTATATTGTTTGTTTTGATTTAGGCCATGAATCTACTAATGGGAATAAAGTGATTCAGAGTTTGCAAGAACTCGAATAATTTATTTGATTATCAATTTTTCTTTAATGACAAGAAAATTTTTCGGTCATTGGCATAATTGAAATGGAGAGTAAGTCAGCTGCAATTCGTTGTATTTCAAAGATTTGAAAGAGTTTCCACCGGGGAACACTAAATGTTTTATAGGTGATGTCACTCAGTGGGTATGCATATCCCACACTCCTTATCGATAGTTGGATGCTTGCTGGTTTGGCTGCTCTGGGGAAAGAACAAAATGAATAAGGACCATCAAAATCGGAAGTCGATGCACCGGTCATAACATGCGAACGCAATGCACAGGTTTTGAGTGGAAACGAGCTGTAACTAACTTGTCGCATAAGTAGTGGAGTGTATAGAGTCCGTGGGAATAGATTGCTATTGAAAAATTAAATAAAACTGGAAAAAGCATCTTGAATAGGTACTGGTGGTCAGCAAACCAGATTTTTGTTCAACTTCTAGTTTGAAGTGGTTTCACCTCCAATGCTTGGCTGAACCAGCTTGATCAACTTCCCGGTGATCACGTGGATAGTGACTTCGATCGCTTATTCAGCCATATTTTGGGATGTTTACCATTACTGGAATCAACTGAAAACAAATCTTACTAACCACTGAATATTTCTGTGNTGTGGCTTGTTTGTTTTAAAAATAATTGAGTGATTTTTATTGTAAATGATAAAGCAGCCGATGTTTCTGTAACTGCATCTCATGGTTCTCGATTTGAAGATTACTCCTATTGGTTGGCAAAACGAATAACATATATTTCTACCACTGATATGTTCTCACACGTTGTTATCAAAAAGAAAGAGAATAGTCCCAGAGTAACATTGATAAAACCGGCCGATTAGCGAACAATGTTTCTCATATTTGTACTCATGCTCTTCCAAATCACATGGTGAAAAGTGCTATTAACTATTACATAATAACAGTCTTCCGAATGAAGAGAGATGGCAGAGTTCTCCATGGTTATGTGTGCATATGACCGTTCCTCACTTAGGTCAGGGGAAAAGTTCCGGCTACCCATTAGGCCAAAGAGATTGAAGAGCTTGAACCAGTCTTTTTGGGCTCAGGCTTAGGCATAGTAAACGAGTGACAATCTCCTCGGCCGTGGTCAGTGTCCAGCATCGGTCGGCCTTGGATTGATCGAGTGGTATGCTGTAAACAACCTTGAAAGCCTTCTCCAGTTCCATTGCTCTTGAGATAGTACCTTTATTCTCCATCACGGGTGACACTAATTAATGCACCCTAAAGCGTTACGTATTTGACATGTGCTACAGACGCACTTAGAAGATCTGAATTATTGAGTTCCCGTTAATCATTCCACCGATTACAAAAGAAGACATATGGTGCAAGATGTAAACATCTCAGTAATTACAACCATAAAATGCATATATGGCATATCTGGTCGGAAAAGAAGAAGGGAAATTCCGGAGGAAAACATTGCCAAACACTAATCATCCGGAAATATTTATAGCAATTTATAGTAGAAAATTCGTAAATGGCAATGGTAATTCAACCCAAAACGTTGACAACGATGTTTCATTCGTGAAGTCTACATGAAAATGTGACCACAATTTCAATGGTGGTTAGCTCTAGACCGCATATTCCCAGCTGCTCAAATCAGACTCATTGCCTCTATGCGCCGCATTGATGCGGACAAACGTAAACGTGGCTGGCAAACCGATTCTATATTACACTCTGTAGCAGTTCCCTTGCGATGATGTATGCATAGGCAGAACAAAAGGTCAGCTATCACAACGGATAGCCTTATATATGGTTGGCAAAATCGATTAAACAACAGATAACCGATGGCCAAGCAATTACAACAGCACTGTGGTCATCTGTTGCAAGACACCTCGTGACAGTAAGACACAGTTGATCAAATTTCGTCTCTGAAACCCCTTTTACTCTGTAGCAATGCAAATACTTAGTAATTGGCATGAAGATGCTTATTCTATTACATCACCCGACTTTCTGAGCAAAAAAGCTTCTTATAGAATTCATTCACTGACCGGTGAGTAAAAATTTCATATCCATGTTTATCTACCTTTGTTTTCGTGCTCGTTTGCTTTGATTGATCAACTCAGTGTGTCATATACATACCAGCTTGTTTTGCGTCAGTCACTGAGGTAATCAGATGAATGCTTAACTTCTCGCATCTCGCATCATCTTCCTTCGGTATGGATAAAATGGCACTTAAAAATAAATTAATTTGAATGAAGTCACTTTTCGCAATATGTCTTTCACTTGCAGTCGGATCACCAGCGATGTAGACAACACTGATCCCAGTTTGGTTGCGGGAAGGTCAAATCTACAGCCACTTGCAGTGACTGTACAAAACTTTCGGTGTGAGACCCTCTTAAACTGAATCCTCATGAATAGTTCTTTTTTGGGTACACAGATAAGACTTTTCTTCTCCGGAGTGAGGCGAATATTCTTATCAATAAACTGTTTTTGATAACCATTTTTATGCAGCGTTTGTCGGATGAATCATACATCTTCATCTAGTGTGTCAAGTGAACAAATGTTCCGGGCTTTGAATGCTGGTTTTGTACTTCATAGGGAAGTTGATACATTTACCATTCCACGTGGATCTGTCTTCGCAGGAACCCATTCTCCTTTCTACAAATAGCTACATCCAGAAAGGCAAATATGTTGTGTTTTGCAACTTTTTAAGTGAAAACATTGATGTACGTGTTTTGCTAAACGTTTTCAGCGTTTGTGGAGTGCTATTTTCTTATCAGTCATACAGAAGATAACAGTCATATGTGCTAAATCCTCAAAAGCCGAACCCAGTGTGGTACTTTCTGGTTTATCCACACACTTTTAGCCGACAATGGACTGAGTGGGTAGCCTATGATAACTTCGTTCACCTGACGACGGATAGTATCACTTAATGGAAATTGGACGTTACATGTGCAAAGTATTAATAGATTATTTAGTTTTGACCAGCATACAAACTTTTATATTTAACGTTTCTGTTTGGTCACAAATGAATTCCACTGTATTCATTTTCACCTATTTGCCGATCATGGCAATTTTTTCGCAAACGTTTCATCACTGCCGAGGTGATATCTCCAGTGTCTCTATCAGGAGTATAATACTGAACAGTGAAACAGCGGATAAAGAAGACATCGTCTTTTCTTGCAAATTCAAGTCCTCTCTGTTAGCCATGGACTGCAAACTCTCTCGGAGACTGTGCACGGTGGGTCTAAGAAGGACATATTATAATAATTCGACCAATTATTGTGCTGTTGAGTGAAACGGTAATCTCATCATTAAGACAATAGGATGATGAGTATTTTCGAAGTATTTCTAAAATCATTTTGGATGAAGGAAGTTCTCGAGATGCAATAAATGAAAGGTTAAATAGGAGAAGGCGGAGCGTAAAATCACGTATCAACTGAAAGCACTAAATATACCGTGGTAAACAGATAACATAACATTTGAGAGCACGAAACAACGTGGCTTTATAGTTTTCTTGAAATTCACAAAAATGGAGTCTCAGAAATTGTTCTAATCATCTGTTCACCATGTGTCAAGTGCTATGAATGAACATCA